CAGATGAGCTGAATGAGTCCGGACAAGGGACCAACCTCTCCAAGTCTCAGTGTCTTTGTGTTATGGGTGTTATGTCCGGGTCTTTTCTTGAACAAGTTGTGTAAAAACAGAATCATCTGAATCAACAAAAGGTGATAATCCAGGAGAAATCCAGTTTAATTCTTGGAGCTGCACCCCCAGAGACAGCTACACACTGCACACATGTAGGTGTTCATCACGGTCTTCCAATAACATTCTCAGTAACTACAACACCACCCTCAAGTATAACTGACTATGCATCTACTGACCCAAGTCTGACTTCTGACAGGTGCAGAGAGTCACCCCAAACCAAGAGAGTTCAGTGATCCACTTCTCAGTACTCAGCCATTTCTTGAGAGGTCCCTGGAAGCTGATCTGCACTCAACACTTCACACATATACCTAGTTTCACCTCCCCAATGACCCAGAGAAGCAAGCATGACTCTAGTTCAATCTGAGCTAGTAAAACTACATGAAGAATTCACTTTCTCTGGTCAATCAGTACAGGTAGTTAAGTTCTTTGAAAGTTACAGAATGACCAAGCAACTCCAAAGACCTTTCCTCTCCTCCTAGAGAGGGAGGAAGAATTATAATACTTGGACAGCACCACAGATCTCCTAGGGGCAGAAAACCCCAGAAAATGGAGAAAATGGCAGCAAAAGCACCAGGAAAGAGCTTACAGAAGGCTCTCTGCCAGGTATCCTGTGACCTCAGCACATGCAATTTTTCAAAGACCTCTATACAAATTTAAATTAGAAAACAAGAGAGGAATGTGGGTTTTTTTTTTTATATTACTAAAAATAATTCTACCCTTTCATACCCAAGTCTATTAAAAAAAACCAAAAAAAAAACAACTTTCTATAAATTCTATTTTTAAAAAAAGTTGACTTGTCGGTGCAAACCACCTACTCAACAGCCATCCTCCTTTTCTCCCCACCAGCCCCCCACAGAAAGGATGTAGCAGTGAGCCCCGCTGAAAACTCCCTTGACACTGAAGGTCCTTGTGAGACTCAGTTCCAATCTCAGAAATGTAATGAGACTTCTACTTGGTTAGGTCTCTGGCTACTGCCTTCCTGAAATACACTTCGCAGTCATGTACCTTGAACTCTTCAACTATTCCCTCTTCCTGCCTAGAATGAAGATCTGATCCCCGGGGAACCGGCAGTCATCTTGGAACCAAGAAAACAAGTCACAAGCTCCAGACAGCAGAGCAGGAAGCCAGGAGGGGCTGGAGGAGGCAGCTGTTGGCCAGTGACCACACCCAGCCTGATCGCCCCAGGACTTTCCACCGTGAGAAAGATCACTCCTGCCAGATTCCAGTCCTGGGGTTGAGTGTCCACTGCATGGAGCCAAGTTCAAGACAAACAGGTACACAAGGATATGTGGCCATCCATCCATCCTAAAAGGACAAGAGCTTGAAATTCAGATGGAAACTAGAGCCAAGCAGATCAGATGTGAGTAAACTGATCTGTGAAGTACAGTACCTGGCGAAGCAGAGAGGGTGGCCTCAGGCAAGTGAGCCATTATCAGCTTCAGCCAGCCCATTATCCCCACTGTGCCAGAACTTGTGATTTTAAAGAGAAGTCCAAATCCAGATTTGTATGTGAAGTATCCGAATTTATAAATAACAACCAAGTTTAAATTTTTCTTTAACTCTGTGGATCACACAAGACATGCTGTTAAGTTAAATTCAGCTTAAGTTAAATACACAGTTTTCAACCTTCGTTGAGAAGGATAAGGCAGAATTAAAAAGAATACCTAAGTTCTAGATAAATAAGAATGGTTAGCAATATACTGGGTGTTTATGTGTCAGACTGTGTTAGGGCTTTGCATCTGTTATCTCGGATTTTTTTCTTTCCAGTCACCCTATGAAGTAAATTATTGTGCTGGCTTTACCAATGAGGAAACAAGAGACTTAAAGATGTGAATCACTGCCTCCTTAGTCATAGAACTTTTAAGTGGCAGGGCCGGGGCACCAGGGTCATCCAACCCCAAGATCCGTGCTCTCATCTACTCTTGAAAAGGAATCCCCAAAAGCAAAAATACTGCTTCAGATCACTACCAATCAGAGTCGGCATAAAGAAGCAGTAGCCCTGCATGAGACTGCAAGTCACTTCCAAAAGAAAAGGCTTAATCCTCCTCCTTCTCCGCTCTTCAATAAAGCTGCAAAGCACTGTCCAAATACACACTCACTGCTTTTTTGAATGAATGTTTGTATGGTGCTTTTCAGTTTATTAATAACATGCTTTCAAATGCCTGTCTCCTTAATCCCCACATCAACCTGATGGCATCGTGCCTGCAACTTGACAGATAATGAGGGGGAGGATCAGAGAGGTTAGTGGACGTGCTCAAGGTCCAGGCAATTAGCAGAAGTGAGTCAATCCTGGCTTTCTGTTGGCAAGCCCTCTGTTCTGTCTATTCCCACACACCTCTTCTCTGCTTCCTTCACCCCCACTCCCGACCCCACCACCTCTCTTTAAAATGCTCACTAGATTAAACTAGTTCCTACTAGATGCTAACATAATTCCAGCACTCCAGAGAGTCCCCAAGTGCCATATTTATGTTTTCTTGGAGCTTCACCCCAGAACACAATCAACAAGAGACCAGAGATAAATATATCAAGTAATACACTTAGAATTGGAATGTAAATGGGCACACAGACAAGTCTTGGGATCTAATTTTAGAAAAAACTGCCCAAAGTCCCACACAGCACAGTGAGCATCTGGCCCTGGGGGAGGCTGCCCACACCACTTTAAACCTCAGTTGACCCAAGGAAGGAGGACTTCTGGAATCCTGACTGGACTTCGCTTTCAGGGGCTTCCATGGGATGATGAACAGAACAACTTTTCATCATGTTCTCCCCAGAGTGCAGAGGTCCCGATAAAGAGAGGGCAGTATCTGGGGAGCCATGCTAGCACTCAAGGACCGACAGGGTCATCACAGTCTGTGACTCTGGAGTGACGTGCTCACAGTTCCGACTCTGGGCGGGAGCTGGGGGAGAGGGTGATTTGGTATGGGGGTGCACACAGGCTTCCAGGCCATCGGATCATGCCGGGACCTGCTGGCCCATCACAGCCCTCTCCCTAACCATTATCACTGGCTGGAATCTCCGTGGTGATCAAGTAACTTTGTAACAGTCGTGTTGGCTGCCAATGACCACCAGAAATCAAGTTTCAGTACAGCAGGTGGTTCTATCTCTTTAGTTCACTGAAAAATGCCAAATCCTCAAAATCATGCCTGGCACACAATAAGATTTAAAGAAAACTTGTCAAATAAATGAATAAATAATGTGGTGTTGAGACAAATCCTCTTAGTCCCACTATCTAAAGCGACCCGAGGGCCCAGAGTAGATTTCCATTAACCCAGTCATTTGTCCATCTTTCCTTTAGAGACACGCACGAAGGTTCAAGCTCCCTGAGGTCCAGGGTCTGGCAAGCGTCCTCTCTCCATCTTCCTGTCTTCTACAACACTCCCCGCCTCTCTCCCCCCAATGTTCTATTCTCTGTCCACCTGGTAGACTCACTCAGCTTCTAAAAACAATCCATCACACACCCTGGGCCTCGCCCCCTCAACTGCATACTTGCTCCGTGCAGACACTGAGACAAAGAGCACAGTAGTAAGCTGCAGTCCTGCCTTTCAGCTCAGCTCTTTAGAGGCAGCCAGTCACGTCAGCAATTACAATCTGAGGGACTAAGCGCCATAATGGGGGCGCTGCAGCCAAAGTCACAAACTGACAACTCTCAGATCTAACCCAGTCCATAGGGCACTTATTTTTTTTATAATTAGTTGCTGACATCGCAGGCATATAAAATTTTAGACTGCCAGTGTCTATTGGAAAATGAAAAGATCTGAACTATCCGACCTATCTTTGTCACAGCATCAGTTGGCTTCGGTTAGGTAGGGGTTGTCCCCGGGGGGCGGGGGGGGGGGAATGCGACCTCTGGCTCCCACCATTCACCTCACTGGCCCACTCCTTTCTGTCCTTAGATAATGAGGCCAAGGGTCAGTCACAGGTATTCAGTGCTTGTTATATTAGTGTAAAGGAATGATTCTCTCATAGTTCTCCAACAGGTAAGAAAATGAAAGATACATCCAAAGGGTCATGTGGAAAGTTTAAAGAAATGGTAGACAACTATTTCCTATGAAGGTGAAGATTATCCCTACACATGTGATATGAAAGTAAAGTGTGTCTGTGCCTTGTCCACAGGAGGCTTTGCTCACGCATGAGCCAGGTGCCTGTTTCTCGGCACAGAACCCTCAACTCTGTAAAACTTACGCTAGGTGACTGCTTTCCTACTGTCTGGGAATCCACTGTTAAAGGGGCAGGCTGACATGAAAAGAACAATTAGTATATAATGTGCACCCACTAGAATTGGCACCAGAGGCTCTGGGAGGAAGGAGCTCTCCATGGAGAAGTTAGGAAGGGCTGACAGAGGGGATTTCCTGAAGCTCACTTCTGAAACAGGCATAGTTCCTCATAGCAGAGGAAGATGAAAAGGAGCTCTGAGAAAACCACCAACTAATCACCCTGACATTGAAAGTATTGCTCATCAGGGTGACCCTCCACGAAGCATCTGAACAAACTCCCAGAGTTTCCAGGAAAGCAAGGCCAGTACTGACCCCTTCCTGCCTGAACATTCAAGAGAGCACAGGTCACCACTAAGAGCAAATGTCCAGCTGTGTAACCCAACTTGATGTCACAAGCAGGGCTCACTGGTATTTATTCAACAGGGGGAAAAAACTTGGGTTCTAAAACTTCCCCATCCCTTCTTCAGCTAACCTAAGTTCTTCACTGAGACTATCAAGCAATGCACAAACACTACTCTGGCACCAAAGAGAAAAAAATTCCTGTCATTTCTAACAAAAAGGAAATTTCCTAATCAAGTCAGGAAGAAGAAAGGCTGGCATTAAAGAAACAGGAAAGACCACAGCCTTGCTCAAGAAGTAATCTCTGAGAACTTCTGTAGGTCTTTTAATACCTACCTCTCCAGTTAGAACTGAAAAGGAATTCTTGCTACTGAGATGATTCTCGGCTTGAGCTGACTCCTGTTGAGCTCGGCGACCCATCTTGGCCCCCTGCAAGGAGAGATGAGGGACACTGCTGACCCAAAAGTCTTTGAGCCACTGTGAGGACAAGAATGCAGTGAAGGTGGTCAGAACTGGATTTATGATAACACAGTAGAGGGTGAAATTTGAGTAGCTTCAGTACATTCTTAGGAAAACACTCCAAACCTCAACATGAAGCATCTGAGGTCAGTCCTCAGGTAGGACTGAGGTAGGAGACTAGGAAATTCATGCTCTCAAAGCTTTCTTTTGGCTGCCATTGCCTTTTTAACCCAAGAAATGCAGTTAGAAATTCTAGAATGAGCAGAGAGCACCTTCCCCTTAGCTCCCGAAGAGTGTGGCAAAGGCTCTTCTGTTCCTGCATAGGGAGGCCTAATTTCAAAGCTGAAGTTTGGCATGAAAATACTTATCAAAGGGATTTGGAGGGAAAGAATTCTAAAATTCTATGGCAACTGACAGATATACAAACAGCACTTGCCTTGATTTAATTTGCCTTAATTTGATTTGAACTTACAGACATGAAAGGAAAACTCATACAAGGATTTTGAGACATCAGTCTTGGAAATTAAAACACTTCAAATTCTGAATCATCACATGAGGCATTTGCAGGTGTTTCCCTAAGTCTTTCTGAGATGGAGGCTGTCTTTCAACTGCTTCCTAGCACATAAACAAAGATGGATGTAGGCAAACCAGTGGGCATTCAAGTATTTATACTTTCATTTGTTTGCTTTAAAAAAAAAAAAACAGCATTAATATAAACACCTTTTGATCTCATTTGATTTCACAATAGCTGTAACAGGGGCCAATGCCATTTACAAACAAGGACACCAAGTCCCAGGAAGATGACTACAAGGCAGACATAAATCCAAGAACAAAATCATCTTGTCTTCAAATCCTGAATTCTTTCTACCACATCATGTGGAACTTCAGGGTTAATATGCTCTAAGAAGTGCTGGTTTCAATCAAATGAGTTACATGGGAGCTGCATGAAAACCCTAATGTAGTGTTTACATTTCAAATTCTAATCCATCCTTTAGTTTTCAAGAATACTATCTTTCTGGTAATAAATGGCTCACTTTCTTCCCACAGGGACAACTGTACACATCCACTACAGTTGCTCTTGCCACTTGCCATGGTATTTGGACATGGTACATGGTGTGCTGAAACAAACATTAACCGCTCTTGTCTCTAAATGCTAGAAGATTTTAGACTTTTTGAAGTCTAGAAAAACTACTTTCTTACCTGACTTACTTATATTAGAAAGGTATAGTCTGTGTTGTCATCTCCCACTGGAATAAAGACAGGTGATTTGTTTCATTCACTGCTCATTCTCCAATACTGAACAATGCCTCATACATAGCAGGGGTTCAAGTATTTGAAAGAATGAATGAATAACTACAGTCACATCTCCAGGTACTAAAAAAGTGCAATTATCAGAAAGGTCTGGTGACCTAGTATGCCCCTTGATCAATCAAGAAACCTGTCTCCCCCAACCCAATTCCTCCTGTCCCTCACATCGCCTTTCTAGTAACTTGGAGGACACTCCAAGCTATCAGGACACTTCAAAACAGTTATAGATCCCACAGCAGAAACTAAGGAGCTGCCCTGTGGCCCTGAGCCACTGTGATCCTCACTAACTTTAAAGCCAAAAAGGTTTGAGAGGGATGTAATGCAGCTAAAAACAACAATAACAAAAACACCAATGAAGTTGGGTCTTGAATCTAGCTAGGTATTTACGATTACATAGCCTTGGAAAAATCCCAGCCTTGGAAGCAATAGCAGCTAACATCTTCTAATGGCTGCGATGCCAGGCATTGTATTAAATGTGTTTCATGCATCACCCCATTTCACCTTCACTGCAACTCTCTGAAGTACAAACCAACATTTACATCCTAGTGATACAGAAACAGGTCTGGGGAAAATTAGCTTTTTCAACCTCCATGCAACTGCTTTATACTCCATTCACCTCTGGGCCTGAGCACCGAGCCACTGCTCGCGTCATAAATCTAAGTCTTGATTTCCTGAGCTATAAAACGCAAGTCGTGAAGACCACCTCCCCGTGGGGATTAAGGGCCAGGAGGGCGCATGGGGTCTTCCTCCCTTCCTACCCTTCTGCTTTCCTTGATAAAGCAGTGCGGACTTTACAGGAACTTCTGGTATGAGAAGTCCTCTGGGAAAACAGCTCTAGGATGGGTTCAAATGAGATCCTGGCCTGGCACGCCAGTCACCCTGGCTCCGTCCGTTCAAGGGAAGTTCGCGCTCTGAGCTCCAGGAATCTGAGGGAAGCTGAGAGATTTCCCATAGTCCCAGAAACCGTGGGGGCTGGGTGTGTTCTCCTCTCCTCCAGGAGCCCCCACTGCACTGCCCTAGGGGCGGGACGGAGGCGGCCGGCCCCTCCCCGGCCTCACCCGGGAGCTGCTCCGGGCAGACTCGCTCCGGCCGTTAGAGCGAGGCCGGTCCGGCCGAGGTGCCGAGGTGAAGCTGGGGCAGCGAGGTCGCCCCTTCCCACCCTCCCAAATCCTAGCACTTGACCCCAGCCCCCCGCGTGGGTCCTCACGGAGGTGGCCGAGCTGCGGCGCCGCTCCACGCCTAGGTCCAGCAAGTCCTCCATCTCCGAGGCCGCCTGACGTCACTTCCTGGAAACCAAGTGGCCCAGTCGCGTCCTTGACGACCGCTCCACCTTTCCAGCCCTACACTTAAAGGGTCCGCGGCATCGTTCCCGGGTTATTTGTGCCACCATTCAATTCAACCAAATCTTTGCTAAACCTGCGTTGCCAGACTCCCCGAAGAAACGTCCAGACATTAAATCCCACTAAAGCTGTCCCTGTGGGGCAGTGCTAGTCTTTAGGAACTGTCTACTTGTGTACTTCTGTTTTAATACCAAAGTGTTTAAGTGCAAAACTCTACCACTAGCAGTATTTAACTATAGTGGCCTTTCCTATCTTATAGCTCTTTGCAATGTGCAGAGACTTTCACAGTTATTAGTCTAGGTGAAGGGGATAACAACCTTGTGTAGGAAGCAAGATAAATAGATGAGAAAACATGATGAGAAAACATGATCACAAGGGCAAGGTGGTAATAAAAGATTGATAATAGAAAGTGCAATATGCATTATCTCTGCTTACAAGAAGTTTACAGAGAGCGTGAACCAACACATCAAATACCAGAGTAGGAATAACTCTCTGAAGTATGAACATTCCCACCAAAAACCCCATAAAGTGAACAATTGAGGGCAGTGAAGTACAAAGAGATAGCTTGAGGAAAATCCCCTTAGGTTTCAGTAAAGGAGGAGGTGCCTTTCTAAAACCAATTCAAATGGATTTTTTTTCCCAGCACATACTGCTGGGTGCCAGCCACTCTCCTAGACACAGAGAGATGTCCCCTAAATTCCTAGTCTAAGGGAATTTAAGCTAGTTGAGTGTTCATTGACTCTCCATGTAAGATTGCTCAAGTCAACATCAGTGACCTGGTCCTTGGTACTGGTCACCTGAGGGCCTCAAAAGATGGGCTCATAGCCCTAAATGTGAGCCATCTCCCAGATCAGCTGGAGAAGTAAGACCTGGATGGTCACTGCTTAAACATGAGGACTTGGGGGTGGGAAAAGTGCTCTGGAAGTGGGTGGAAAGCATTTCTTAAATACCCAAGGAATTACTCAATTCATCCCTTGTGGGGTAGGGCTGCACCTTGTGACAGCAGCAACACTGCCTGGGTATCAGAGCAGCTGAGGTGTCATCCCAGCCCTGTGCCTGTGAGCACAGCCCTCTCTGGGCTTGCTATCCCCTGGCAATTAGTCTTAAAGATTACCCGTAACTTGCTGTCTCTGATTCTCAGACTTAACTGTTAGATTTTAATGTAAAAAAAAAAATTCTTTGCCAAGTTTAAGATGGATGAAATATTAACTCCACTGAGTCTCTTGTCCCTTTTTCCTTAGCACAAGTAAGAAAGAAGGAATTACCTCCTTGTCCTTTTCCATTTCCTTGTCCTTGTCCATGTCCATTTCCTTGTCCATTTCCTGTGAACTCACAGCCCTGCCACCATCGCCTGAGGTCAGCTCCCAAACCTTCACTCTTACTTCTTCTCCAACTTCCTGAAAGCAAACAATGAAAAGTACTCACCCAGACAGAATGAAGCCAAGTAGTGGCTTCCAAACCTGGCTGAGGACTCAACTCACCTGTGAGGTCTGTTAAAAAATGCATATGCCAGAGCCACAGCAACAGAAACTGAGATTTGGTAGTGATAGAGTCCGGAAGGATATGGCTTTCTCTCCTCCCCAGACTGCCAGGTGGCTTAAAGACCTCTGATCACCCTATTTTAAATGATAACAGTCTTCAACTTAGGCATACCCTCTCCTCCTTCTCTGCTTATTTTCCACCAAGTGGAAAATACCTTGTATCAGTTACATATCTAGTTTATGTAGCTAAGCCCTCACCTCTAACTCCAGAATGTGGGCTCCTGGAGGGCAGGTTTTGTTTTTTGTTTGGGGGAGAGGGGTGACTTTGCACACTGTGTTAGCCACAGAGCTCAGAACAACGCTGGCTTAGAGTGAATGATGGCTTAGTAGTTCAGTATGTAGACTCCTGCCATAGACTTCCTGGCAGTGTTGACAGCTGTCTGCTGTACATATATGACCCTGGGCAAGCTACTTGTGAGCTTTCTGCACGTAGGTATACTCATTTGTTATGGAAGTGAGGATAATGCTCACCCGCACACAGGCAGTGTTGTCCTATAAGTTGCTCTGTGCCTCAGTTTCCAAAATTGCTAGCCTATCAACCACGGTCCTGATCAAGGACTGATCCACCAGTGAACATCCCTTCATTTAGTGGCTTAGGAGTTAGGAGCAGGAATCAGGCGTGGCGGGAAGGGTGCAGGGAGGCTGGAGGAGGGGGTTATGGGGTTTTAGGGTGCAGCACTGATTTCTAGCAAAGTCACTCAGGTAAGTCTTTGTGAGTGAGTGAGTGTGTGAGTGTTGAGGGTTGGGTGGGATTGGGCAGGAGCGATTTGTCTTCCCTTCCTAAGAGGTTTCATGAGACGCTTAGACTGAGAAGAAGACCGAAAGCTTAGGAAAAACTTCCCCTCACCCATCTGGGAAAGGGGCTCGAGCCAACTGCGCTAGCCGGTGCGGTCCCCACGGAACCCTCGCCGGGAGGAGGCTGTGAACTTCTGAAGGACTTTTCTGCTGGGAGCGGCCGGCCGCAGTGCAGGGCCGCAGTGCAGGGAAAGGAGAGGTGCATTTGCACGCACGTCGGGCCGAGCCGGGGGCTATTCCCCAAAGCGCCGGGCCGTGTCTTCCGCGCCCTCTCCCGCGGCCCCTGGTCCCCCAGCCCCCGGCCCCAGCCCCTCCCGCCTTCCCGGCTCGGACCCACGGAGCCTCCTTCAGTGGCGGTCTCGCCTCGCCAGAGGGCACCCTCGATCTACCGGAAAACGCCACCATTTTTCAAAGCCCGTGGAGCACCTCCAAGCTTCTGCAAACCGCCCGACTCCAATCTTGTCAATGAAGAATCAGGGCCAGGATCGCCGCAGAGCTGAAGCCAGACTCCAGCCCAGCTTGCCAGGCCGGGCGTGACCCGGGACGAGGGTGGGCACGGCCAGCCCGGCCCAGCCCCGCGCTGCCCCCCGACCCGGCCCAGGGTCCCGCCCGCCTGGCCGGGGGCGGCCCGGGACTGGGGGCCAGGAAGGGAGAGAGAGACGGGAGGAGGAGAGGACGGACTGACAGCTGGCGAGGGGACGGAGTCCGAGAAGGAAGGAGGGGATTCATCGGAGTAACTTTCCAGAAAAACAGTCAACGTGTAGCAGGAGTGACTCCAAGAGAGGAAAAAAAGTTCAGTGACCACGTCGAACGAGAGGACTCACAAAGTATTTTTCAAACGGGCTCTGCTTTTCCTGTGCCTGTTTAAAACATTAAAATCGTGCAGGAAAAGAGGCTGCGTGCGCTGGTCCCTCCCTCCCCCACCCGGGGCCAGAGACGTCATGGGAGGGAGGTATAAAATTTCAGCAGAGAGAAATAGAGAAAGCAGTGTGTGTGTGTGTGTGCATGTGTGTGAGAGAGAGAGGGAGAAGAGCGAGAGGCGAGGGAGGGAGAGAGCGAGAGGGAGGAGGGAGGGAGAGAAAGAGAGAGAGAAGCGAGAGGGAGAAAGGGAGCAAGCAGACAGCCTAGACCGAGGGAGTGAGCCCGAGAGGCGAGAGATAGGGCGAGAAGCCCGAGAAAGAAGTAACAGCTTTCCGGAGCAGGCGTGCAGCGAACTGGCTTCTGTTTTATTTTCCTCTTCCTTTTTATTTTCCAAAGAGAAGCAGGGGACAGAAGCAATGGCCGAGGGAGAAGACCAGCCGAGGTGCAGCTGACCTGGGTGTCCAAGTGGATTATGGTGCTGTTCTCCAAGGGCCTGCCCTCCCTGTCTTACAATTGCACATAACCCCATTCCCAGCCAAGGACGACCAGAGGCAGCGTGAACCAAGTCATTGAGAAAGCCCCCAGGAAGTGTAAACAAAAGGGAAAGCATGAATGGTGTGCCTGGGAGACAAGTGTGCCCTGCACCGCCCCCACCTTTAGCTGGACCAGCCCTGCCTCTCCCCACCTACTCACTGGTGATCTGACTTTTTTTTCCTTTTCTTTTCCATTCTCTTTTCTTATTCTCCTTCAGGGCAAGGCCAGGATTTTGATTTTGGGACCCAGCCACGGTCCTTCTGTTCCTTCTTTAAAATACCCACTTTCTCCCCAACGCCAAGAAGCGTTTGGCAATATCAGATATCCGCTCTATTTATTTTTACCTAAGGAAAAACTCCAGCTCCCTTCCCACTCCCAGCTGCCTTGCCACCCCTCCCAGCCCTCTGCTTGCCCTCCACCTGGCCTGCCGGGAGTCAGAGCCCAGCAGAACCTGTTTAGACACATGGAGAAGAAGCCCAGAGCTCGGAGCCACACAGTCGGCTTCTCTGCGCTCCGGGTTGCCAGCGCTTCCTGGAAGTCCTGAAGCTCTCTCGCAGTGCAGTGAGTTCATGCACCTTCTTGCCAAGCCTCAGTCTTCGGGATCTAGGGAGGCCGCCTGGTTTTCCTCCCTCCTTCTGCACATCGGCTGGGGTCTGCTCCTCCCTGGGCCTCCCAGCCCCCCTGGCTGCTCTCCCCAGCTCGCATATGAAGATGCACTTGCAGAGGAGTCTGGTGGTCCTGGCCCTGCTGAACTTGGCCACAGTCAGCCTCTCTCTGTCCACTTGCACCACCTTGGACTTCGGCCACATCAAGAAGAAGAGGGTGGAAGCCATTAGGGGACAGATCTTGAGCAAACTCAGGCTCACCAGTCCCCCCGAGCCATCGGTGATGACCCACGTCCCCTACCAGGTCCTGGCCCTTTACAACAGCACCCGAGAGCTGCTGGAGGAGATGCAGGGGGAGAGGGAGGACGGCTGTACGCAGGAAAACACCGAGTCGGAGTACTATGCCAAAGAAATCCATAAATTCGACATGATCCAGGGGCTGGCGGAGCACAGTAAGTCCAAATTCTTGCTGGGGTGTCTGCTCTGGAGGGTCTGAACTGGAGCAGGGAGGTCCACAGAGGGAGGCCAAGCCTCCTGGGGGCACAGCAGGGTGCCCCAGGTTCACCCTAGCTAAAGCCAGGAGGTGTGATGCTCACTTGGGGTTGGGTAGGTGTGTGGGGAGGGAGCCGGGGCCATTCTGGGAAGAGCCCGGCACTTCTGGGAGCCCTGGGGTTGAGTGGCTCCCTGGCTTCCCATCACACCCTTGACTCATTTTAACTTGTAATTACACTGCGTTGTCATATGAACATGTGTGTTCCCACACGTGCCCTGGATAGGTAACTGTGGGGCATGTGGGTGCCATAGGGGCAGGGCCGACTCTCCTGAGAACCCTTAAGTTCCCAGGGGATAAGTTCTCTTCCCTGCTTCTCACGACTCCTGATGTGTCTCGCTTCCATTTTTCCGGTTCTTGGGAAGAAGATTATACCTGTCCCAAACTAATGTCTGCCAAGCTTTACGAAGCCCAGGTAAAAGACAGATCCTCACTGCCCAGGCCTTCAGTGTCTGCCACACACACCCACGTGAGCCATGTGCGTGGGGAAGGCACGCGCCTGTGTTCACATTTACTTGTGCTGTGGTGGCTGTATGGACAGCGGACAGGTGTGCGTGCTCAGCACAGGCGTCCTCCAGGCCTGGGGGTTCTTGGGAGGCAGGGGCCAGGCCCTGGACGTGTGGCCGATGGCTGGTCGCCCTTTTGTGTCTGCGTGTCACTGGCACAGTGGGTGGGAGGTGTAGTTGCGGGTGCAAAGGACGTGTGTCTGGGAATAGGGCCTCCCAGGAGGCTCCTGTCTGTGCTGAGACGTGGGGAGGCTTCTGGGCGAGACATCTGTGTGTGTTTGTACACGTGTGGAAGTCATGTGTGTTTACTGAACGGGGATTTAAAAAACCTCAATACAAGAGAGAGAGATTTGGCAGATGTTGAGAAACTGACAGCCCAGGGAGGAGGAATGTGAACCACTCATGGGCCCCCGACTCTGGGAACAGCCCTGTTTGCTTTTCCTACCAGCAGGTGTCCTCACCAGCCTGACCACCTCAGTCTACTCACCTGGGAGGTGGGCAGTGCAGGGAGCGTGGGGGGAGGCTCTGACAGGGTGGGAAGGTGAGGGAGGGAACCTTGCGGGTTGAAAGGGACCTGGCTAGACAGAAGGAAGAGGAGGGGGTGGCTGATGGACCAGTTCTGGCTGAAGGTGCAAAAGGCCCCACCAGGAGCTGGCCATGCCAGGCCCAGGAGCCTGTGGTTACTGGCTAGCGTCTCCCTCTCCTGTTTCCTGTGACTGCCTGGAGCGCCCTGCCCTAGGATGTGGCTACCATGTGGTGCAGAGGCTGGAGGCCGAGGCCGAGTTGGTCTCCTTGCCCAGGGTCCTTTAGGGGGGTGGCTAAGGGTCGGTCAGGGTAGGTGGTTCCCAGAGGCACCAGCAACTAGTTGGCTGGGCTCCAACCCACTGGGTACCCGCAAAGGCAGGAGATAGTAGCCACAAATGTCAAAGGAGGGTGGGAAGCTGAGGCCAGCTGGAGAGGTCCGAGGAGAGTCCAGGGCCAGAGGGAGGGACTCGGACCTTAATGATCCGGGTCAGGAGGAGGAGTTCTGGGGAGGAGGGATTCTGAGTCATCAGGGCCTACTCTGTCTGGAATCCAGAGCTGAGAATGAATGAGCTGGGTGGATGTGCAGGCACACAGGTGCCAGAGAACACTGAGTTCGTGTAGATGCTTGGGCACAGATTGTGGGCAGCCTGGAGAAAGCCCAGGTAGCTGCAGCTCTGTGACCTCAAAACTGCGGGGCCCCGGGGCCCAGAACTATGATCAGGCCTAGAGCAAACCTGGCAGAGTGAGCAGGATGCAATGTGGGCTGTTGTGGGGGGCGGAGCAGAGTGGGACATGGGCGGTGCCACAGAGGCCCACAGGTGCAAACAGTAAACAGGCCCAGACTCTGCAGCTGTTGGAGGTGACATGGAGGCTGAGCAGACGTGGCCGGGCCGCCCTGCAGCCGGTCAGGTGCAGAGCAGCCCAGAGAGCAGACACACACGGCGCTCTAATTATAAAGAAGGCCCTGGGCGGATGCGAAGGCCAACAGATGCCGAGTGGGAACAGAGAGCCGTCCTCAGGGCTTGGGGAGGACAGTGTGCCCTGAACTAGTGGGGGCTGGCAGAGTGGCACTGGGTCTCTGGTGGGACTCCGGGTGCCACAGCTTCTGCTGGGTAGGTGACCAGATCATGTTCCCTGCCACCTTTCTGCGCTCCCAGCGGGACAGGTGCTGGCGTAGGCACGAGGAGTGAGAGCAGGAGCTGAGGCAAGGAGATGGGGGTGCGTGGGGAGCAAAGCGCAAGAAGGCTCGTGTCCAGTGGCACAGGAGAATGGACACCAGGCGAGAGCACGGAGGACAGTGTCCAGCCTCTGGCTCTGGCCTACCAGTAGGTCCCCTGATCTCCCTGTTTACAGATGAGGAGTCTCAAACAAGGTGCATCAGCTAAGCAGGTGATCCCAAAAGGCAGGGCACGGACCTAGACTCTGCCTGTGGGATGCAGACTGGTTTACAGTCACCGCGATGACCTGTTTAAAAAGTGCATCTTGTTTTATTTGTTTTTTTTAAAGATTTATTTATTTATACAGAACTGGGGTACAGGCCAGAGATGCGGAGGGTGAGAGGATTCACCAGGGACAGCGTGGGGAGCAGAACAGGCAGATCGACAAAGTACACTGCTGAGGGGAGCAGCGGGCTGGTCAGGAGAGGTCTGCAGCGCCATGTGGTCACCTCCCCGGCAGGTGGCAGGCGGGAATCGAACTCATGCGGAAGTGGCTTTAGCTTCTCAGTGTGCTTTAACCCGCTGTGCCACCAGGGAGGGCCCTAAAAAGTGTATCTTGTTTAAGTACATATTTAGCACACATTTCATTACTTAAGTCAATGTGTGTGTCTAACTTGAACTGGCCACAAGATGCATATTGCCCCAGACATTCCCCCAAATCAGTGGAAGGATTTTCCTTATCTAATGAAGAGTCTCAAGCTGGTTAAGCAACTACACCATGTGGTATTGGGCAAGACATCTCTTTGAGCCTTGGTTTCATGTGTAAAGTCACAGATAATCTCTAAAAGTCCCTTTCAACTAAAATAATTTTATGGTTATATCTGGGATGATTCAACAGTTGCTGGTGGGGAGTAAAAGCAAGACTGTAACCTCAGTCTTTATAATTCTCCAAGATTTTGTCCTAGGATGTGAATAGAGGTATCTCAGTCCCACAAGATAGGGCAGGACACAGCTTCTTCAGCTCCTTTGTCATCCTACTTATCAAGATATCATTAACTAGTTTTATCGGCTTGTAATTACCTGTGACTGGCAGGGGACTCTTGTTTTAGCCAAGGGCAGTGTTGAGATGATCAGCAAAGCCAGAGTTCCCTAGCAAAGAGAAAACAACAATTCGGCCTTTCTTTTCTAGTTGCTACATTTAGATTTTGTTCATTCTGAAAATTTAGAGACAGGCTGTCTCTAAAGGGCTCATCTGTTCAAAGTGCTAATACTGCCCCACACCAGGTCAGAGTTTCTCCAAGCATGACCCAGGGGTGAGATAACAGCGCAGAATGTGGACACCCACACTCCACCCTGGACCTGCAGAGTCAGAACCTCTGGGATGGGTTTCTGGGGAGTTTGTATTTGCTATACGCTTCTTGGTGTTTCTTAAACTCATTGACATTTGAGACCCAGTGAATTAAGGCAGATCTTCCCCAGAAGGACTGTAAGCACAAGTGTCCACAGAGGGAAGGGAGCTGATGCAAATGATCTAAAAGTAAATAGAAGCCCTAGAAAACTAGGGATCTAGAAGAACTCTTCAGTAAAAGCCATAGCAACAGCACCATGGCAACCTAGATTGCAGATTGGCCTGAGGGTCTTGGGGAAAAAAGGGTGTGTGGGAGATGGGGTGGGAGGTGCCCATAATCTATGGGGACAGGCTTGGGGCGCCCATAGTCTGTTAAAAGAGGGTATCCAATGCTTAGCTCCTGCACAGTTGTGCTCTTAGGAATGTGCCAGAAGAGCAGAAAATCTGGATCTTTTAACATGGGCTGCAAATATTTATAAACTTCTAATTCAAAAATTTTTAAATTGATGCACTGGCCAAATAGCCTGTCTGATACATTTAAAAGTTAACCCATTTGAAGCTTACGCCACTAGAGTAATGGTTTATCAAACTTCCAGAACATCTGGAAGCCACGGTACCCTTCACAGTGCTCCATAAATGGTGGTTCTTAATACTGACTGCACATTAGATTCAGCTGGGGATCTTAAAATAAATAAAGTCTGAACCCACACACTCCAGTGCAGCCAGAACCTCTAGGGAACAGGTCTGGGAGTCATCTGTTTTTAAAGTTCTCCAGGTGACTCTCATGCACAGCTGGGGTACAGGGCCACACTGATAGATCTAGTCCCGTCATTGGAACCAGCAGGGACTTTACTAGCTGGAATGCTGTCTACAGGAAAGGCACATCTGCACGTCCAGGTGTCTGAAAACATTTTTTAAAAAGGTTATTTATGCATACAGAACTGGGGTACAGGCTAGAGGCATAGGGGCGGTGAGAGGATTCACCAGAGACATAGTGGGGAGCAGAACAGGCAGATTGAGAAAGTACACTGCTGAGGGGAGCAACGGGCAGGTCAGGAGAGGTGTGCTGCAGCATGTGGGTCACCTCCTGGGGCGGGGATCGAACTCACACTGAAGCGGCTACAGCTCGCTTGCTGTACTGCTCTTTAACCCGCTTGCCACCAGGGAGGGCCCTGTCTGAAAACATTTTAAAAGTCATGATCTAAACCTGATCAGCTGTGTCCAGCTTTTTCCAGGAAAACTTCACCTGAATAGTCTTTGCTATTTTTTTCTTCTGATAGCAAAATGGCATTGACTTCTCTCCCCCTCTATGTGTCATGGGGAAAGTTGGTCATGATTCCGTGGGTACAGGTGATGCCCCTCTCCAGCTCTCAGGAAGACTAGTGCTTGGCTTCATCTCACTGAGCGCTGGCTCCTGTCCAGGTGACACTGGTTGGTGAAACCACCCCGCACTCTCAGGTTCTCTGTGACTCCGAGTCTCTGCTTCAGTAAATACAGTCAGCAGATCTGTGTTCAGCTCCCACATCTGCCACCTACTAGCTGTGTGACCTCGGGAAAGCATTGACTTGTCCTGGCTTCCAATGTTTGCAAAATGGTCAACTTTACTTATTCTCCTCAAGGACTGTTAAAGGGTGAGATAAGTCTATAAAAGTTCAATGAAATGGAAGGTGGATTTATTACTTTATTTATACTCTCATTCTACAAGTGATGACATCATTTTCAGTACCTTTCAGTATCAAGAAAATGTCATTTATGCATTCTTTTCTCTCCTAGGAAGTTCTTTTTTAATCTCTAACAACTGTATCTGAATTTTGCTTACTAGTATCAGTTTGCTTGTGTAAACCTGGCCAAGACCAATTTCTTCATCTAAAGAGGGTAGCACTAGACAACTTTTAATGTCCCTTCCAACTCTCTTAGCGATTCAAACATTCCAGTGATACAAAGTGACTCTTTCTACTTCCTTCTTGAAATCTTGAAAACTCCATCAAGAGGATTCCCTCTTAGAGAAGAGATATGGATACATGAACTGGAAAACCCCAGAAAGGCTGCTCTCCAGTGTGTGCTGAAGACCCTTCAGCTCACTGCCCCCTCATCCCATGGCTTCCCACTGTCTCCAGCCGACTCTCCACTAGTGTGAGCCATTTTCCATTCCTCTTTCTTTTTTATAGCGACAGGCACATGACATAGCATTTATTCCCTCTTTCAACAGTAACTGGAGGTACAATTATAACTGAAGCTGTATTGATGACAGCTCCTTCAAGAACCAAATATGTCAGCACTAGAGAGTTACTCGTCCAAGAGGCTTATCCACATCCACACACTTGCAAACTTGAAAGTTAAATTGCTCTCACTGATTCCACCCTCTGGTTCTCTGAAATGGTCTAGGGACTAGCTGGCAGTATTTGTTCTTTCAAAGCCAATTATTAAGCAGGGCTTCATTAGCCAGGATTCACACATTTGTTTTCCTAACATCTGTCCCATTAATTTTCTAAGAACGAGTGTCAGGTCCACCAGATGGCAATTTGGAAACACTCACTCATCCTTTCCTAAAGATCAGTAGTGCATTTGCTTGTTTCCAGGCCTCTGATCCTTCCCGCCTTGTCCGTTACTCCCTAAACCACCCCTCAGGGTGATTATGAGCTCATTCCAATCATGTCCATTATGTGTGGAATCTGAGTCTATGAGCTTGAATTTCAAGTCCTGGCTATTGTTACCATTTGTGTAGAAAGTTTTTCTCTGGGTGTTAATGCTGCTCAGGGCGTTGAGGTTGTTTTGTGCATATGAGAAAAGACAGGCTCTTTTCTCTTTTCTGGCTCTGAGGGGCAGGAAAGAGCATTTGCTGCCTTCTGTCTTGTGGACTCGGACAAAGAGACCAGTGTGAGTGACAGAGGCTGGCTCAACCTGGGTGACTGAGGCAAGAGACTCTTGAAGAGAAAACAGTCAAGGCTGATGAGCCAACTCAGGCTGCAGAAGTACCTGTGGGCCTGCCAGCCTGGAGACATGGGCTCTTAGCCATACCCACACGGCCCCATTAGGTCCCAGGCGCATGTTAGTTATGTTACAGGGCTAACACTTTCTGGGGCTCCCTACTGTTGGTGGAATAACACGCTAACCTTTCATCCTGGCACCCACTACCCCGGCAGACTCCAATCCACTGCTGTGACCTTGGCTTGGGACTCCCCCTGGACATTCAAGTCTCTCTTTCCTTCGCATTTCTTCCCTGTCGTTCCCTGATTCCTTCCATAAAAATCCCTTTCCTCTCCATCCTTAAGCCCTTTTCTCTGGTAGAACCACTTACAGGTCAACCAATCACCATTTGTCTGAAGTGACCTCTGCTCTCTCCCTCCCTTGATCTCTGCAGCAATTTCTGGGCTTTACCAAAGCCCTCAACACTTTCCTTCCGGCCCTATATTTGGGCCCAGGTGATAATCACCGGCCCTGGCTATTAACCTCTTTGAAGGTAAAGGTTGTGTCTATTCATTTATGCTTCCCAATGTTGGCACTGTCCCTGGCACATAGCATTTGCTCAGTATGTCTTTTGTCAATAAGTATATGTTCACCTAAAGCCCGTGATTGAATCAACTAATTGAGATGATTGAACTACAAGGGGCAGTTACTGATATCTTTTGAGAATCTTTATTTTCTAGAATAGTAGGAAAGCAGGCTTGAGAGCCTGCCAGAGTTGGCTGTCCTACAAGAGTGGTGGGGTGATGACACTTGACTGATCCGTTGTTCGTCTCATTTCCTGGGGCTCCAAGTTCTTCCTTCTCCTCCATCAAGGCCTAAGTATGACCAGAGCCCCAAGGATCTTCCACTCTCCACCTTCAGGTCTGCAGCCTCCTGTCTCTTGGGAGGTCACAGGTGGAGCTTTTGGCCACTTGGCAATTTCTGTTGACAGCACGCTGCTCCATGGGTCTCACTTACATTGTCCCTCTCCCCGCTGCTTTATCTCCAGATGAGCTGGCTGTCTGCCCCAAAGGAATCACCTCCAAGGTTTTCCGTTTCAATGTGTCCTCAGTGGAGAAAAATGGAACCAACCTGTTTCGAGCAGAATTCCGGGTCCTGCGGGTCCCCAACCCCACCTCCAAGCGCAATGAGCAGAGGATCGAGCTCTTCCAGGTGAACCCCTCCCAGAGCCTAGACCCCACAGGTGAGGAAGCAGCTCCTTTGCTAGGTCTGTGCAGAGTTCAGCACAGAGTCCTGCCTTCACCCACCTTAGCTTCTGTGTCCGTGTAAGAGGACTGAAGGAGTCGATAGATAACTGTGGTGCTCCAAGGAGCAGCCGGGAAGCTTCCACTTCCTGTTGTACCCCTACCCCCGTCCTCCCGCATGGGGCCATATGTGGTGGTCTCTGCCCCCGCCTAGCCGCTTACTCTTCTTTCTGACCCATAGATCCTGCGTCCTGATGAGAATATTGCCAAACAGCGCTACATTGGTGGCAAGAACCTGCCCACGCGGGGCAACGCCGAGTGGCTGTCATTTGATGTCACCGACACTGTGCGCGAGTGGCTCTCGAGAAGGGGTAGGTTGATGGTAACCTCAGGTCTCTTGGGCCTTCGTGAAATAGCGGGAAGATGAGAACAGAGAAGTCCCTGATCTGGCTTCCGGGCCTGCCTTTGCCACTGACTGTGTGTCTTCCATTCATTCACACACTAGTATATGCTGAGTTAGGCCCTGGGGCCACATCAGTGAACAGGACAGGTGACAGCCCAGATCTCATGGGGCTTTTATTTTGATGCTTGAAACATCTAGTAAACAAATGCTTCGAGGGACAGGCCTTTCACATAGCGGCCAGTACCATGAAAACTGAAAGAGGTCCGTGTGATCAGAACTGGAGGCAGGGAGCCAGCACGGAATGCTCAGGGCGGGGTTCTATGAAGAGGGACTTATGAGCAAATATGTGGATATAGTATGAGGTCTGTGTGACAGAAGGAGCCGGCCTGTGGCAGTCGGGAAAAAGACCGTGCAAAAGAGGGAAACTGTGAGGCCTGGGCCCCAGGGGGGCCAGCTGGCTTTGTTCCAGCTGCAGCAGACAAACTGGTGTGCTGGTAGGGTCAAGAGGCAGCTGGGCCGTGTGATTTAGGACTCTCAGGGCTGGCAGGCTTTAGGACTTACCCCAAGTGGGATGAGAACTCTGAAAGGGTTATAAGCAGGGCTGGTGATGCGGGGTCAGGTGCTTTGGTTTAATTGTTTTGAGGACCCCTCGGTGGCCTTGAACTCAAGAGCAGAAGCAGGAAAACTCAGGGTCGGAGGAGTCTTGCAGCAGGTGGGATGAGAGCACCTTGGGACTTCACTAGGGCAGTAGCACTGGGTGTGGATTTATCCTCCGCTTTGGAGGTACAGGAAACAGGACGGGCTGGTTAGGACCAGGATGTGAAGACGCCTGAAGTCTCGGAGGACTTCTAAGACATTGCATTGAATACCCAGGTGGTAGCACTTGCTGGAACAGGGAAGACTGTTTTTCCTCTTGAAGGTGATAGAACCAAGGAGATGGTGGGGGCGGTGCAGGTTCTGATTTAGTCAATTATTTTGGAAAGTCTTGGTAGCTAGCCCAGGAGCTGCCCACTGGGCATGCCAATGCCTCACGTCCCAAATACCTCACCTGCCGCTATTTCCTCACCTGGAAAATAAGGCAATGGTTCCTTCCCTGCCTGCCTCGCAAGGCTGTTTAAAGATGAAATGTATTTGACAGAACGTTGTGCTGTTCAGCCTGTCAGACAAGAGAAAGCTTTTACTGGGTCGGACAAATGCATGAAGGCTCAGAGAAGTTAATGATTTGGCCAAGGTTGTCAGCCTGGATAGGACCGGAGGCCCCAGACTGACGGGCAGGACGCCACGCCAGCACGCTCAGCTGGGCTCCCTCCGTGGTCTGTGGTGGGGTCTGCTCTGATGCTCAGGAAGTGGGGGGGCTCATTTGGTGCCCCATCTGTGCCTTCCCTCCCGCTGGTGATGTTTCCTGCTGGCATCAGCAGCTGTGGAGCCTCAGCGCCCCCCACCCTGATGTCCTGAGTCCCTGGTGAAGGACCTGGTGGGTCCTTCAGTCCTTGGTATTCTAGGAAACCAGGGGTTAAACCTCCAGTGAGCACAAATTGCTTGGCCTATATACGGTTTTATATTTAAGTAGTGGACAACACGTTGTTTTTTTCTTAGAGTTGGGATTGCACATAAAATCTGGATTTCTGGCTTTTCTTGAAAACTTGGAAGGCTTCCTAGAAGCAAATCCTGCAGAGTCGTGGCCACCTCTCCGTGGTCCCTGCTGTTCCCCTTGTGAGCCTGGCAGTCTCTATATATCATGAAGGACTTGCTCGCTGTGTTCACTTTTCTAACCCATCTGGGCTCCAAATTTGCAAGTCTCTTCTAAGGGGGGTTACCTGGTGGCTGGGCGGGCAGATCGTGGCTGGAGTCCTGCCCCAGCCACAGGGGTGTCCGGGAATGCTGTCTTTTCCCTCCTACGGAGCACGAAGGCAAATGCCTGAGAGTCCTCATGCATCTGCCAGTGGCAGCACTGTTGGGAATTCTGACTCACACAGCACTCCACCTAGGGCCTAGCGTGGCTACGGAAGGAGAGGCCAGGGAAATTAATCTCTTAGCTCCCTGTCTGATTTTGATCAGCTCCACCTGGATTTCTTTGAAGCCCTGGGCACTTGAAGTTCTTATTTTCACAGCTGCAGAACTCAATGAGAAGTTTGCATTGAGAATGATTTCCATCCTCCTTGAGACATCAAAAAGATAATTCCGTAATAAAACCTATGGGTCTCCCGCCCACCACTCTTACTGCTGCCAGTTCTGAGGTTAGTGCTTCGGAACCTTCAGTTCCCATCTCGGCAGAACTGCCCGCTCCTTGAGCTGGGGAATCACACATGCATCTTCAAGAGTCTTGCAGAGTTCACAGACCCAAATAAGGCAACAGATGGACTCCAAGTGAGCCATCGTGGTGTGGGCCAATGAGGAAACTGAGTCATACATATGGTCTTGGATTCCTTCCGCAAATGTGGTACCCAGGCTGATGTCTGAGTCCTAGAGCTAGCTGGAGCCCTCTCCAGGATTGGGGCCCAAGTCCTCGCACCCAAGGCTCTCTGTACACAGAGCCAGGTCTCCCCAGCAGCTGGCAGAGAGCCTGTCCAGGGCAGGATACACTGGGAAAAACCACCACTAGAAAATGCTCCCCAGTAAATGTGTGGGCATCTTCCCTGGTGGTCTCCAGTGCCTCTCTCTTTGTCCCTCTGTCTCTGTAATGGGAGTGTGACTCTTGCATCAGCCTATGTTTGAGTCTCAGTTCTACCACTTACTGGCTGGGTACTTTGGACAAGTCATTTAATTTCCCTCAGTGAACTCAAGTGTATAATGGAGCATAATACAAGTTCCCACTTTGTAGGATTATTCTGGAGATTGAATGAGTTCATGCATGTTAAGTCTTAAAACAGTGCTTGACGAGTAGTAATATTCCACAAATGTCTGAGCTCTCTACCTAGACAGCACCTGTCCACCTGCTCACACCTAGCACCTGTACCTTGACCCTAACTCTCCCCAGTACCTCTGTTTGCAACTCGACTTTCCAACTCATTGAACCAGAGCTTGCCCACTCCAGGACTCACCTGGCCTACCTTGAACGCTGTTGGTACTAGGACCTATGCTGTGTGGCCCCTTTCAACTTTTCTAGAGCTTTTTAGCTGCCTTAAACCAACAAGAAGCTCTATGTCTCTTCCCACTCTACTCATTTCTTGTTCTGTAGCTAGGGACCAGCATCCTTGTTATAATGGTTTCTCCCCACCCTTCCCTCGCAGTACAAAAATCTTCAAGCA